TACTCACCAGACATAGCGCCTTCTGATTACCACTTGTTCAGATCGATGCAGCACGGCTTGAGTGGTACACGCTTCCGAAATGTTGAAGAAGTGCGAGAATGGGTGGACGAATGGATTGCTTCGAAACAAACATCGTTTTATCGAGATGGTATCGCCCAGTTGCCAGAAAGATGGCAAAAAGTTGTAGAAAGTGATGGAAAATACTTTCATTGAAATAATTTAAATAAATTTTTTACAATAAATGCTTTTTCTCAGTATTTTTTGGGCGGAAACTAAGTTAAGGTCCTAATATAACTTAATACAAATATAATATAATATAACTTGATATGTTATATGATATAAATATAAATATAATATAATATAATATAACTTGATATGTTAAAATTATTTAATAATTATCTTTCTTTAAGATGTATTTCTGATAGATTTGATGTCGGTACAGCTACAGCATGGCGAAGTGTCCAAAAAGTTGTCAATGCTCTATATAGCAAAGTAGCAACATTTATTCGCTGGCCAACTGTAGAAGAATCGTTACAAAGTATGGAAATAATGGAAAGAAACTATGGTTTCCCTGGTGTAATTGGAGCGATAGACGGAACTCATGTTAAAATTATAGCCCCAACAGATAACAGTGATTCCTATATAAACAGAAAAGGATTTCATTCCATCCAATTACAGGTAGAAGAATGGATAATATTATTAATAATATATTTTAATTTTGATATTATAGACAATTGGTGTGATGATAAGTAAACAAATAATTCACATCTCAACAGGTTGTTTGTAATGAACGTCTTGAATTCATGCATTGCTATACAGGACAAGTAGGTTCTGTGCATGATATGCGTGTCTTTCGACTATCTAATTTTGAAACAATGTGTACGGATAATAATTTTCCACATGATAGCCATATATTGGGAGATGCAGCTTATCGTCTCACAAAATACATCATGGTGTCATTTAAAAACAACGGTCATCTATCTGAACGTCAATTAACTTTCAATACACGTCTCTCGTCTGCTCGAATGATTGTTGAACGTTCAATAGGTTTATTAAAAGGTCGTTTCCGAAGCATTTTAGATACATTTCCGATGTATAGAACTGATTTAATACCTAAATATATAATTGCTTGTTGTATTTTGCACAACATGTGTTTGTTACAAAACGATATGATAGACGTTCCTATAATTGTTAATGAACACGATTGTGCACAAACAGTACCGTTTGAAGACACTCAAGGGGAAGGTATTGATAAAAGAAACGCAATAATGTATTTGTTATCACAAAATGCTCTCTAATTATGTTCATCTAAAATAAACATCACAAAGATGATAATAAAAGTTTATGTATTGTATTTTAACATTGTTTTCAAAATCTTCTACAAATCTTCAATATTTAAGATCATTCTGCAATAAGTCGCAAATATCCTCATCAGTCGCAAAGGATGATCACCATTAGTTACAAAGTACTATTTATAGCTGCAAGACAGTTGCAATTACTAAAGGGGAGTTGCCCAAATTTCAACTTTTTGAAAACAGCAACTAGCGATTGCAACATAGAGTCTATGTTCTGTTCCTACATTGCTGAAATGGTGTAATAAGTTAGAACAAGAAGAAATATATTTATCTCACTCTAACTTTTTGTAACAATTCAGCAGTGCAGAAACAGAAAACAGACCCATACATAATCAAGCATTTTGTAATTAGAAGTTGTCATCCTTCGTACTTAGCAATGGGATGGTTACAACTCACATAGAAAGAACTTTAATATACATTGCAAATTGAAATAGTATAGTAGTACATCTCATAATAATATATCTTAACATTAGAATCTTTAAAAAATAAAAAAAATAAATATAATTAATATTACAATTAGCAATAAATTATTATTATTACTTAAAGATTGTTATATATAAGGTGTAGTAAAAAGAAATCCATTATTTTTCCAACAGATGGCTTTAGTAATGTGTATCTCGCGTTGTATAAGTGCGATCGGTTTACGCTAGATGGCGTTAGGAAGATAAGATTTCATACTAAAAAAACTTCTCAGACAGTTTTGTGATTGTTTGACTCAGTATTGTTTGAGCGCGCGACAAAGATGGACACCAGCAAAGAGAAAATACGCCATATTTTACAGTTTTTCTTCGATAAAGGCGGAAACGCAAACCAGGCGGCTGAAAATGTGAATAGTGTTTATGGTCCTGATACTGTAACAGCCAATCACGCGCAATTTTGGTTTCGCTAATTCCGTTCCGGTAATTTTGATGTCAAAGATGCACCACGCTCTGGAAGGCCAATTGTCGAAAATGTCGATAAAATAATGGAAATCGTCGAGTCCGACCGTCATGTAAGCACTGTTTTGATTGCCCAGGAGCTAAACATTGCACAAAAAACCGCTTGGAACCACTTGATAAGGATACAAAAAGAAGCTCGATGTATGGGTGCCACATGAGTTAACGCAAAAAAACCTCATGGACCGAATTTCCATCTGCGAATCGCTGCTGAATCGCAACAAAATCGACCCATTTCTGCAGCGGATGGTGACTGGTGATGAAAAGTGGGTCACTTACGACAACGTCAAGCGAAAACGGTCGTGGTCGAAACGCGGTGAGCCGGCGCAAACGGTGGCCAAGCCAGGATTGACGGTCAGGAAGACTTTGCTGTGTGTTTGGTGGGATTGGCAGGAATCATCCACTATGAGCTACTCCCCTACAGCCAAACTCTTAATTCGGACCTGTACTGTCAATAATTGGACCGTCTGAAGGAATCAATCGCCCAGAGCGGCCAGCTTTGGCCAATAGGAGAGGAATTGTGTTCCATCAGGACAACGCCAGGTCACACATCGATAGTGACTCGCCAGAAGCTCCGGGAGCTTGGTTGGGAGGTTCTTATGCATCCACCTTATAGTCCGGACCTGGCACCAAGTGATTACCACCTGTTCCTGTCGGGTGTATATCAGTTGGACACGGGGCAATTGGACACAGTCCAATCACAAGTCGCTGTTCCAAGGGACCCTACAAATGTCTCTAATCACACGGTGCTGTGATTGACTGTGTCCAAATGCACCGTGTCCAAGTGCACCGCTCCCTTCCTGTCTATGGCGAATGATTTTGCTGGTGAAAAATTCGCCTCAAGAGAAGCTTGTGAAAATCGACTGTCCCAGTTTTTTGCCAATAGGGACAAGGGTTTCTATGAGAGAAGCATAATGGAATTACCTTCAAAATGACAACAAGTTATCGAACAAAACAGTGCATATTTCACCTAAATCGGATCATTCTAACTATGCTAAATAAAGCCTTCAATTTTATGTAAAAATAATGGATTTCTTTGTACTACACCTTATATTATTTTATATATTTTATATTTGGAACAATAAATGTAATAAAGAAATATGTGAAAACTGTAATGAAGAAATGTGTGAGATCTTATAGTAACGAAAAACATAAAAACTAATATCATTTGTACTGTTACATTGTATTATATCACATTTCGTATCACGTATAAACTATAATATGTAATTAAAATGATTTATACTAAAATTTAGTAAATAATGCACATCTCAACAGGTAACTCTCATACTAACAATACACACAGTAATTATCACACTAACAATTTTTAACGCAATGAAAAAATTAAGAAAACAGCTTTAATGTAAAGTAATTTCTAATTTTCTGTTTTTTTTTCTTTCTCTATCAATTGTAATAAATTTTCTATTCTTTTAAAAGCGTTCAGTTTTTCTTCGTGCTGTTTTGTACGAGTTTCTCTGCGTTTAGCACGTTCTTCTTTACTAAATATTATATAATCATTTATTTATGTATTCGTCTTCGTCCTTTTAATGCCTGAAATTACAAATATATATAAAATATATATTTACACAGAAAAATACAATTATTTTACATGTAAGACATATGTTACCTTTATGTGCAAATTCTTCTTCTTCAAAATTGAATATATTTTCTTTCTCATGCGATCCTGCTAAAGGCACCCAGTGTTTATCCCCAAATAGTTCTTGCATTATCTGTATACGATGTAAATGTCAAAATATATTACTTACATTAAAAACATATTATTCTATTAAGCACAGATATATATAACTTAGAACAAATAACTTTTAATATTATCATCTGTAAATATTCCCAGTCTCTCCTATTATTGCCACTTTTCTTGTTATGATCTGTAATACATTTGTATGTACGTTTCAAGGATTAAAACTTTGTTTAACATTTATAACCGTTTATATTATGTCCTTTTTCCCCTTATAGAAATATCATACTAAGAATCATTGATAATTACTTATTTTCAGTATTAAAAATACTGGATAATAAGTAATTATCAATGATTCTTAGTATGATATTTCTATAAGGGTCTTGCATAAATTTTGCAATATTATTCCAATTTATTATTCCAATTTTTTTTATTGAACCTTTTCCACTAACAAATTTTTTATGGTGTTCACGATACAATTGTAACAACAATAACGTTTCTTGTTTTGTCCAAGCATGTGTACCTGTAATATAATGAAATAAGAATTAAACAGGAGTAAACAGATAATTCTTTGAATATGAGTTGTTAGCTTAGCGCGCAAACATTATTTCATAATCTGTTTTGAGTCAATATCATTTTTCGTTTCATAAACTTTCTAATTATATGAGAATATTGAAGTATGGACATTTTAATATTAAAACAAATGTAGATTAAATCTTCGTGAAGCTAAAAATGATATTATGTTAAGTTACGTTAGGACTATGAATGGACATGTTTGTGCATTAAGCCATTGATATGTATTTAATGATTATGTAAATTTCCAAGTCAGTACATTACTTTCTGCACATTCAAAACTTGTGGCAGCTTCTTGTTCTTCTTGACTGCTACCTAATTCTTCTAGATTGCTACTAGTATTGCTATCTGTTTCTTGTACATTGCTACTAGTACTAGTACCTGTTACAATTAATAACATACATTTAAACGGATATTAATAGACATTATATGAAACTTGTCTCAAGTTAGATATTCAGACTTGAATTTAGAATCTAATGTGAGTTTCTTAATTAAATTATGTGATTAAAAATATATTAGATATATATTATATAACTTTATTATACAATTGGAATGAAAAACTTAAATAAAGTGATATAAGACTTTAAGTAAAGATACAAGGCGTTTTAAGTAAAGACTATTAATAATGACCAAAGTCATTTGAAATTTAATACTGCTTCTCTATTGATATATAATCTATATATTCATAACACAATTAAAATTGTTCATACCTTGTGACGAAGTATAACCTATTTGGGTCGAAAGTTTCGCATGCTGCAATAACTGCGTAGCATATTTTAAATCTAAAATACAAGTTTTTTTGAACATTTCCAATAAGAGAAAATATATTAGGACCTTAACTTAGTTTCCGCCCGCAAATGTTAGATGGCAATGCAAACAGTTCTAGTAGTCATTACTAACGAAACAGGTAGTTTGTGATTAATTTCGACATTTCTCGATAACATTCAGTCAGCATACACAATTATTTTCCTAAACAACAATTTCTTTTGCTTTGTGAAAAATGGAACGCGATAAAGTGTTTTTTCGACATGTGCTTTTGCACTATTTTGATTTGAAAAAAA